GTCTCTTTCTTTTGCACCCTGGGTCCCTTCACTTGTGCTTCCACTGTGGGTGGCTGGTCACAATCTCTGTGCCCTTTAGTGTGGATCTCTCTGCTGGAGGAGACAGGACGCCCTGCAAGTCAGGGACGGGTCTCATCCCTCACAGAGTCAGCCATGTGGCCCAGGTTTGATGCACACCTGCAGAATTGCTATTTCTTGCTTCTATACACAATCTCTGGCTGGGCTGGTAGCTCAAGCCTGTAGTCTCAGCACCTTAGAAGGTCTCAGTTGGCAGATGGCATGAGTCCAGAAGTTTGAGACCAGTCTGGGCAACATGGTGAAACACAGTCTCTAATAAAAGGTTAAAAAAAAAAAAAGAGAGAGAGAGAGAGAGAGAGAGAAAGGCATGGTGGCTCATACCTGTAACCCCAGCACTTTGGGAGGCCGAGGTGGGTGGATCACCTGAGGTCAGGAATTCAAGACCAGCCTGGCCAATATGGTGAAACCCTGTCTCTACTAAAAATACAAAAATTAGCCAGGTGTGATGGTATGCACCTGTAGTCTCAGCTACTCAGGAGGCTGAGGCAGAAGAATCACTTGAACCCGGGAGGCAGAGACTGCAGTGAGCTGAGATCTGAGATCTCACCACTGCACTCCAGCCTGGTGGCAAAGCAAGATTCCATCTCAAAAAAAAGAAAAAAAAAAAAAAAAAAAAAAAAGAAAGGCTGGGCACTGTGACTCATGTGTGTAATCCCAGCACTTTCAGAGGGCAAGGCGAGCACATCAAGAGATCAGTAGATCAAGAATGTCCTGGCCAACATGGTGAAACGCTGTCGCTGCTAAAACAAAAAATGAGTTGGGCATGGGGACATGCACCTGTGGCCCCAGCTACTTGGGAGGCAGAGGCAGGAGAACTGCTTGAACCTAAGAGGCAGAGGTTGCAGTCAGCCAAGATGGTGCCACTGCACTGCAGCCTGGCAACAGAGTGAGACTTCATCTCAAAATTTAAAAAATAAAAAGAAGCCAAATGTGGCGGTGCGTGACTGTAGTCCCAGCTGCTGCTCTGAAGGCTAAGATGGGAGGATCACCTGAACCCTGGAGACAGAGGTTACACTGAGCCAGGATTGCACCACTGCACTCCAGCCTGGGTGACACAGTGAGACTGTCCCCACAAAAAACACAAAATGTGTCTTTATCTACAAAAGATACCTGCTACTAAACTCATGATGAGGAAATACTGCAACCGACTGTGTACTCTCAGAAACCTGAGAAAAGTGACCAGGATCTCAGCCAGTGTCACCTTGTACTGCAAAGCCCTGCAGGACCATCTGTGCCGTTTCTTTCTATTCACTCAAAAAAGAAGAGATGAATTTTTTTACAAATTACTTTATACCATTCAAATCAACACATCAAGTGGTGCATTTAGAGGTGTTGGTTGAGGTCTCAGAGGCCGCATGACTAGAGGAGGGGGTGAAGTCCGAGGGGACAGTCAGGTGAAGGTTGAGTGTCGGTTGAGACAGCAGGTCAGCCAAGTGAAGGAGGTGGTCGAAGTACGAGAGAAAACCTAGGAAGGAGGTGTCTGAGGGCTGAGAGGTCATGAGGAGATTCTTTAGGTCCTAGAGGAGACTCACGTGAAGGTGATAGCTAAGGGAGGCCACCAAGGTAGAGAAGGTGGCCGAGGTACCAGTGGCCACAAAATGGAACAGTAGGCTGAGGTCCCAGAGGCCACACTGCTGGAGGAAGAAGATGAAGTCCCCCAGGAAAGAGAGCTGGATGAGGTGGATGGGGCCCCCCAGGACAGAGAGATGGATGAGGTGGATGGGGTCCCCGAGGACAGAGAGACGGATGAGGTGGATGGGGTCCCCCAGGAAAGAGAGCTGGATGAGGTGGATGGGGCCCCCCAGGACAGAGAGATGGATGAGGTGGATGGGGTCCCCCAGGACAGATAGACTGATGAGGTAGATGAAGCCCTCCAGGAAAGACACCTGGATGAAGTGGATGGGGTCCTCCAGGACAGACAGATGGATGAGGTGGATGGGGTCCTCCAGGACAGACAGGTGGATGAGATGGATGGGTTCCCCCAGGACAGACATCTGGATGGGGTGGATGGGGTCCCCCAGGATAGACAGGTGGATGAGGTGGATGGGGTCCCCCAGGACAGACATCTGGATGAGGTGGATGGGGTCCTCCAGGATAGACAGGTGGATGAGGTGCATGGGGTCCTCCAGGATACACAGGTGGATGAGGTGGATGGGGTCCCACATGACAGACTAGATGGATGAGGTGGTTGAGGTACCTCAGGACAGACACCTGGATGAGGTAGATAAAGTCCCATAGGAGGTGCAGCTGGAGGAGGTGCTAGAGGTCCCACAAAACAAATAGTTGGAAGACATAAAGGAAGTCTCAGAGGACACTCAATTGCTGGAGGTGTCTGTGGTTTCAGAAGATCACCAGCTGGAGAAGATGGTGGAGATACCAGAGAGCACTTGACTGAAGGAGGTGACTGTGGTCTCAGAGAACCTTCACTTGGAGAAGATGGTTGAGGTGGCACAGGACATTCGAGTGAAGTAGGTGGTTGAAGTCCCAGAGGACACATGACTGAAATAGGAAGTTGAGGTTCCAGAAAATGCTCAAGTGGTGGAGCTGCCTGTGGTCTGCCAGAAAGTCATTAGCTGTAGAAGATGGTAAAGGTAACAGATTCCACTCGGGTGGAGGAGTGTGGGGCTCAGAAAGTCTTCAGCTTGAGATGATGGCAGAGGTATCAGAGAACACTCAAGTGGTGGTGTGTGAGGCCTCAGAACATCTTCAGCTGGAGAGTGGTAGAGATACCAGAGGACACTCACGTTGAGGTGTGTGGGTGAAGATTTTCTTAGGAAATCTTCAGCTGAAGATGGTGGGAGAGGAACTAGAGTACACTCAGGTGGAGGTGTCTGTGGTCTCAGAAGATCATCAAGAAGGTGAAGAGATACCAGAAGACACTCTATTGAAACACGTAGCTGAGGTCCAAGGGGACACTCAAATGGTGGAGCTACTTGTAATCTCAAAAATTTTCAGTTGGAGAAAGTGGTTGAGGTCCCAGAAGACAATGGATGGAAGCTGTGTGTCGTCTCAGAAAATAATCAGCTGGAGATGATGGTAGAGGTATCAGAAGATACTCGAGTGGTGACGTCTGTGGTTTTCAAAGATGATCATCTAAAAAAGGTGGTAGAGATGCCAGAAGACACTTGAGTCGTGGTGTCTGTGGTCTCCAAAGATTATCAAACAGAGGAGGTGGTAGAGATGCCAGAAGGCACTTGAGTGGTGGCGTCTGTAATTTTCAAAGATGATCATTTAGAGAAGGTGGCAGAGATGCCAGAAGACACTTGAGTGGTGGTGTCTGTGGTCTCCAAAGATGATCATCTGGAGAAGATGGCAGAGATGCCAGAAGACACTTGAATGGTGGCGTCTGTGGTCTCCAAAAATTATCATCTGGAGAAGGTGGTAGAGATGCCAGAAGACACTTGAGTGGTGGCGTCTGTGGTCTCCAAAAATTATCATCTGGAGAAGGTGGTAGAGATGCCAGAAGACACTTGAGTGGTGGTGTCTGTGGTCTCCAAAAATTATCATCTGGAGAAGGTGGTAGAGATGCCAGAAGACACTTGAGTGGTGGCGTCTGTGGTCTCCAAAAATTATCATCTGGAGAAGGTGGTAGAGATGCCAGAAGACACTTGAGTGGTGGCGTCTGTGGTCTCCAAAGATTATCATCTGGAGAAGGTGGTAGAGATGCCAGAAGACACTTGAGTGGTGGCGTCTGTGGTCTCCAAAGATGATCATCTGGAGAAGGTGGTAGAGATGCCAGAAGACACTTGAGTGGTGGTGTCTGTGGTCTCCAAAGATGATCATCTGGAGAAGGTGGTAGAGATGCCAGAAGACACTTGAGTGGTGGTGTCTGTGGTCTCCAAAGATGATCATTCAGAGAAGGTGGTAGAGTTGCCAGAAGACACTTGAGTGGTGGCGTCTGTGGTCTCCAAAGATGATCATTCAGAGAAGGTGGTAGAGTTGCCAGAAGACACTTGAGTGGTGGTGTCTGTGGTCTCCAAAGATGATCATCTGGAGAAGGTGGTAGAGTTGCCAGTAGACACTTGAGTGGTGGTGTCTGTGGTCTCCAAAGATGATCATCTGGAGAAGGTGGTAGAGTTGCCAGTAGACACTTGAGTGGTGGTGTCTGTGGTTTTCAAAGATGATCATCTGGAGAAGGTGGTAGAGATGCCAGAAGACACTTGAGTGGTGGTGTCTGTGGTCTCCGAAGATGATCATCTGGAGAAGGTAGTAGAGTTGCCAGAAGACACTTGAGTGGTGGTGTCTGTGGTTTTCAAAGATGATCATCTGGAGAAGGTGGTATAGGTGCTGGAAGGCACTCAAGTGGTGGTGTCTGTGTTCTTGAAGTATCATCATCTGGAGAGGTGGTATAGGTGGCAGAAGACACTTGAGTGATGGTGTCTGTGGTTTTCAAAGATTATAATCTGGAGAAGGTGGAACAGGTGCCAGAAGACACTTGAGTGGTGGTGTCTGTGGTTTTCAAAGATGATCATCTGGAGAAGGTGGTATAGGTGCTGGAAGGCACTCAAGTGGTGGTGTCTGTGTTCTTGAAGTATCATCATCTGGAGAGGTGGTATAGGTGGCAGAAGACACTTGAGTGATGGTGTCTGTGGTTTTCAAAGATTATAATCTGGAGAAGGTGGAACAGGTGCCAGAAGACACTTGAGTGGTGGTGTCTGTGGTTTTCAAAGATTATCATCCGGAGAAGGTGGTATAGATGCCGGAAGGCACTCAAGTTGTGGTGTCTGTGTTCTTGAAATATCATCTGGAGAGGTGGAAGAGGTGCCAGAAGACACTTGAGTGGTGGTGTCTGTGGTCTCCAAAGATTATCATCTGGAGAAGGTGGTACAGGTGCCAGAAGACACTTGAGTGGTGGTGTCTGTGGTCTCCAAAGATTATCATCTGGAGAGGTGGAACAGGTGTCAGAAGACACTTGAGTGGTGCTGTCTGTGGTTTTCAAAGATCATCATCTGTAGACAGTGGCAGCGGTGTGCATAGACACTCAGGTGGAATTGTGTATAAGCCGAGAAAATCATTGGCTGAAGAAGGTGGTAAAGCTGCCAGAAGACATTCAGGTGTAGGTGTCTGTGGTCTCGAGAACTCATCATCTGACGAAGCTGGCAGCTGTGTGCATAGACACTCAGGTGGAATTGTGTATGGGCTCAGAAAATCATTGGCTGAAGAAGGTGGAAAAGCTGCCAGAAGACATTTGGGTGTAGGTGTATGTGGTCTCGAAAACTCATCATCTGACGAAGGTGGCAGCGGTGTGCATAGACACTCAGGTGGAATTGTGTATGGGCTCAGAAAATCATTGGCTGAAGAAGGTGGAAAAGCTGCCAGAAGACATTTGGGTGTAGGTGTCTGTGGTCTCGAAAACTCATCATCTGACGAAGGTGGCAGAGGCGTGCATAGACACTCAGGTGGAATTGTGTATAAGCTCAGAAAATCATTGGCTGAAGAAGGTGGTAAAGCAGCCAGAAGACATGCGGGTGTAGGTGTCTGTGGTCTTGAAAACTCATCATCTGATGAAGCTCGCAGAGGTCCTAGTGGACACTGGAGTCGAGGAGTTGTCAGAGGTCCCAGAACACCTTTAGCTGATGGGAATGGTGGAGCTCCCAGGCGACACCCAAATGGAGGAGGTGACGGGCAAGCCATCAGTGGTCCTGAAGGGTCAGCCATGAGGTAGGGTGAGCAGGGCAATGCTGAGCAGTGATGACGCTGTGCTGCAGCCATGTTAACCTGCGGGCAGAAGGAGGAAGTGTTTTCACATGTATTAATTTGACAGACAGAACCACCACCAACAACACAGGCTGCAACTTATGTTGCTGCTGATAGTTTTTTGCACCTTTCCATCCTCCAGGTTTCAAAACAGCAGCATCAGTGTCATGAAGTCACCCTTCCACTAAGTACCACTGACAGCTGGGAAGTGAAGAAGAGTCGTTGGGGCAAACTGTTTTCTCCGCATGCCACTGCATCTCTCTGCAAATGTAGGCAGGCTGGGGGCCTGCCCCAGGGAAGACAGAGTCATAGCGCAGTAAGGAAGAAGCATGTTTCAGACACAGGAGTGTCTCTGTCCATCCTCATTCCTCCCTCACCGCCATCACCAGAGCATGTTCTTGGCATCAGATAAATAGCGAGTAAGAGAGGCACGAAGAGCCCATTGTCCACACATGTGTTACAGCTTCTTTTAGGAGAATGTTCTCCAGGCCTTTTATGTTCTGTCTCTGATTCTCAGAACTCTGCAAGTCAGCGTGACCACCCTGCTCCAAATCTAAGTAAACAGAGCCTCCCCGAGGAAGAAGAACACGTGCCCAGGGTCACAGAGCTTGCAGGAGGCAGAGTGGAAGTCTATTCCAGCTCTGCCTGCAGGACCCTCTCATTTTCCCTCTGATTCCCTTCTCGACAAAGGGTCTTCTTCACTATGGGGGTGCCCCCCATGAGCACAGATGGCTCTGGGGAAATGTGGATTCTTGAAGAGAAGCAGGGAAACTGGGAGAGGGTTTTCTGTCAGAGCAATCCCACATACACAAGTCAGTTAGGCATGGCCAGAAGATTTCTTTTAACTCCCAGGTAATACAAATTTTAAGTGCATTATGACAGAAATAATACTTTTGTCCAGGGAAAAATGAGGTGGAAATTCTGAAAAAGGCAAGTTTTAGAAACGTGTTTAATTTCTAGTGTACAGTTCCCATCACGTGTCATCTCAGGACTCGGCAGCTGTTGAAGGTACAGAAGCCACACGAGAACCAGCAGAGCTGCGCATCATGGAAGGCCTTGGTTGGGAATTGTCACTGTGGGTAACAGGTTACTTTCACTTTCACTAACTCACAATCGAGGCATATTTTTTACTACAAATACAGAAACTCTGACACTTAGACGTTAGATCGGGGCACGACCAAATGGGGGTGAAGGTGATTTTGTACAACACCGTTACCAACAGGAATGGGACTGTGATGAACTACAGAATTGACCTTGACGAAGAGCATTCAGAATTGCACAAAGTACATATTAATGCTGGATTAATGAGTTTTCACTTTCATCACTTCTGAGAATACAGCAGATATTTCAAATGTTACTCACCTACCTTATAGATAAAAACAAACAAAATAAAAGAAAACCCCACTTCAATCAGAAATAGACCCCACAACACCTTGAGTAACAGAGATCAGTCAGCATTCACTGGGCCATGAGACCTACGAGAGTGGAGGTCAGTGGCATTCCTCATGCTATTTCAGAAAACAGAACAGTAAAAGCCCTTCAGCCCTCAGTCCCTAAGCATTTATGGCTTCTGGAGGTGCCACCCAAGATGACTAGCTGGGACTGAAGAAGCCAGAAAGCTTATGGGAAAGATTTTGCTCTAAAAATTCCAGACAGAAAAGGTATCGCAGAACCTACAGAGCAGAGGACAGGCGAGGAGAGGACGATGGAGGAAAAGACTACAATGTCCTGATACAGGCAGAGTGAAAATGACCCCAGCATTTACCTTTGTCTTCTCTGTGATTTCACTTGGGACGCAGCTGCTGTTCCTCATGGGAACCGAATGAGGTCCTGAATCTGCTAAGGGCAAGAGAAGGAAATGGAGCTAAATCTGGCTTGCATGTTCTGTGCAGAATAAGAAACCCTCCATGGCTTTTGCTGCCATCTCACTCTCTTTGCCACACTCAGGTCCCTTACCAGAGGCACAGGGTTAACTGACCAGATGCATCAGAGGACCCTGGTGCCCTCTGGGCCTGAACCTTGAGGAAGATACTGCAGAGTCCTGGTCCAGGGGTTTGCTTAACTCTCAACAGGCTGTGGACAAGTCGGGCTCTAACCAGCTGGAAATGAGCTTTAAATCAGGGGTTCCCAGTACACATCAGAGGAAATCACCCATCATGTGAGCACTGACTCCAAATTCAAATAGAAACAGCCGTGGATGGGAAGAACAGCTACAGGCCCAGGACAGGAGCGGCACTGCTCCTTTTCTTCAGCTGTCGGGGCATTTAAAATCCCGTGGATTCATAGTGAATTTAACCTCCACATCTCACCAGGCATTGCCAATATTTATGAACAGAAATGAACATAAAGAGACTAACAGTCATGAGAAAAGGTAAGTGCTGTAGGAATTAAATGGGGGTCGGGTGAGGTGGCTCACACTTCTAATCCCGGAACTTTGGAAGGCTGAGGTGGGCAGATCACTTGAGGTCAAGAGTTACAGACAAGCCTGACCAACATGGTGAAACTCTGTCTCTACTAAAAACACAAAAAGAAACATTTGTCAGGCATGGTGGCAGGCACATGTAATCCCAGCCACTTGGGACGCAGAGGCAGGAGAATTGCTTGAACTTAGGAGGCGGAGGTTGCAGTGAGCAAAAACTGCACCACTGCACTTCAGCCTGGGTGACAGAGTGAGGTTTTCAAAAAGAAAAGGAAAGAAAAGAAAGAAATCAACCGGAAAGTTTGAGGGTCACACTTCAAATGTTAGAGGAGTAAGATTACATAGAAATTTAGCTTACTAAAGGAGTTATCTAGTTCACAATAAACAATTTAAATGAGCAAAAAGAACGAAGGAAGTTCCAAAAAGTGCAAATAAAGGCTTCTTTTCTTAAAGCAGATCTCAGGTACTGCTTTATTGAGCCATGAAGACATTGCCCGAAAATCTCTGCTCTCCTCAGCACTTCCAGCTCCCATTCTAAAATCCTATTGTTACTTTTCTCTAAGGAAAGAAAAACAAAGCCTTCACACTGACTCAAGGTGGGATGGGGAGCTGGCCCATTTGCCTTGTAGGCTCATCTTCACAGTTAAAAGTAACCAAGACGTCAGTGGGGGGCAAAGTTCACAGTCAGTGGAGGGGCCTGAGCTCCACCATTCACAGGGGACCAGCCAAGAGCCATTCAGCTAGGGTACCTGAGAAAAATGGGGTCGTGCCCCCCAGCGGGACAACTGTTCTCTTCACAAGTGCTTGGAACTGTTTCCAGGAAACATGACAATGACCCCACCTGAGCCCTCACCCCCAAAAGGAGAAGCAGGGCGTGTGGGTCCTGCAGCGGAAACTAAGCGGCTGCCTTCACGGGAGCTCCCACCTCGCCAGAAAGCGTTCTTCAGGCACAGGCGTTTCTGGGCTGGCTCCTCACTCATGTGTCTCCCTGGCACTCTTTTCTTTTTCCTCATTCTCCATCTAGAAGACAGAGAAAGAACTGACTTGAAGAAGAATTAAAACACCACGTTCTTTACTAGACATTCAAAGCTTTATCTTTTTTTGTTGTTGTTGTTGAGACGGGGTTTCACCATGTTGGCCAGGCTGGTCTTGAACTGCTGACCTCAGGTAATCCACCCGCCTCAGTCAAAGCTTCATCTTGAAAAAAAAAAAAAATCCTTAAAAATGACCATAACAACTGAGTGCAGTGGCTCATGCCTGCAATCCCAGCACTTTGGGAGGCTGAGGTGGGCAGATCACCTGAGGTCGGGAGTTTGAGACCAGCCTGACCAACATGGAGAAACTGTCTCTACTAAAAATACAAAAAAGTCAGGCGGAGTGGCACGTGCTTTTAATTCCATCTACTCGGGAGCCTAACGCAGAGAATTGCTTGAACCCGGGAGGTAGAGGTTGCTGTGAGCTGAGATTTTGCCACTGCACTCCAGCCTGAGCAACAGAGACTCAGTCTCAAAAAGAAAAAAAATCCATCACAATGACCTACCTGTGCCGCTTGTAGGCACCCTTGCTCTCTGCCGTCTCCCTCTCCAAGGCTTGAGCACAGCGCTGTGGGGAGAAAAATACATCCACGTCCTCATCTGGCCGACTATGCCCCAAAGCACAGGAAACAAACAAAGAAAACTTACCCGGTTGTCAAGAGCATTTCTTGCAGAAGAGGTGACCTGAAAAATCCACCATGCCCAGCCTGAAAGAACATCTTTCAAGTTCTTTGTAAAATTTGATTTTTCTGATTTTAACTCACAGGTAATTTAGTTAAAATTAGAAGTGGTACATTGAAAAACATCCCCTCTTCAGGCGTGCTGGCTCACGCTTGTAATCCCAGCACTTTGAGAGGCTGAGGTCGGTGGATCACTTGAGATTGGGAGTTTGAGACCAGCCTGGCAAACATGGTAAAACCCCATTCCTACTAACAATACAAAAATTAGCTGCATGTGGTGGTGACCACCCGTCATTCCAGCCACTCGTTGGGGGCTGAGGCAGGAGAATCACTTAAACCCATGAGGTAGAGGTTGCAGTGAGTCAAGATCACACCATTATACTCCAGGCTGGGTGACAGAGCCAGATTGTTAAAAAAAAAAAAAAAAAACCAAGAGAAAACTTCCCCCAACTTACATTGACAATTCTCTGTTCAGGACTAAGTGGGGTAGAGACTGTTAGATGCAGCAGGGCGTGGTCACTGGCAACTGTAATCTCAGCACTTTGGGAGGCTGAGGCAGGTGGATCACCTGAGTTTAGAGCTCAAGACCAGCCTGGAAAAAATGGGGAAATCCTGTCTCTACGAAGAATACAAAAATTAGCCAGGCATGGTGGTACATCCTGTAGTTCCAGCTACTTGGGAGGCTGGGGCAGGAGACTCACTGGAACCTAGGAAGCAGAGGCTACCTGAGATTGTGTCACTGCACTCCAATCTGGGCCAGAGAGTGAGACTCCATTTAAAAAAAAAAAAAAAAGAAAGAAAGGCAGTCCGGAATGGCAGGTAATTATCTAGGTTGTAAAAATAAAACATACTTCCTCTTCCCTCTAATATAAAAAGCATTGTGGGATTAGTGCTTTTTTCTTGGATCATTGTTCAGGAGGAGGGTCAGCCCCCAGACAACCACGTTTTTACTGTCATGAAAGGCAAGAGAAAATAAAGCGCTCACTCTACCCAATGGACAAAAAGGCTCAAACGATGACACAACTTAGCAGCCAAATTCCTACCAAGTACAGACTTTGGACATACTGATCCCTCTCCACCTGCAACCGGGAACATGCACTTTGATGATGTCATTTGAAATGACACTGCCCAGACACACTCTTCATTGATTCTCTGAAGGGCAGTTCCAACAGACTCTCTGGGGCTTTCTCTGCATCATGAGAGGCAGCTCTGCCCTTCGCCGTCCTGCCGTTTGTCGCCTCTTCCCCATGATCTCAGAGGAACTTTGTCTCAGGCCAACTTTGTTCCTTGGGCTCTTTCATTTCCCCTAAAAATCACTTACTCCCCCTCTAAACTGCCCCCATCTCCATCTCCCCTGAAAAGAGGGTGCCCTTTAAGCACCAACCATCTGACCCTTCCTGCAGTCTCATTTCTCGGCTGGCTCCCATGTTTCTGCCTGTTGTATAAACAGCTTCTCCTGTTAAGCTGTCTGTTGTCAGTTTCTGCAGTGAATCTTTAGAGAGGAGAGTGAAAGCTTTCCTTCCAGCCATATGATAGAATTATGAAGCGAAAAGTTTAGACAGAATTTCCTATTTAAAGTGCCAAAACTTCATACTCCATTTCTGATAAAGATCACAAAGGTTAAAAAAAGAAAACTTAGTTTTGACCCAAAGCTCTGTTGACATTCTATTCAACAAACATCAATCTATTTAATTTTCATCATGTAAATGGCAGATATTTTTATAATTCTTATGCTAATAAATCATTTCCCTGATGTTTTTGGTAAAACCCAATATTCATAATGAAGTCCAGAACCATGAATTGTTTTAAATAATTTCTTCTTATGTGTGATTACAAGTATATCTCTACAGGAAGTTAGTATACTCACACAGAAGGTAATTTTTCGGAGGAAAAGGCCAACGGCAGAAACTCCCAGAAACACAATAGTTAAAAGCATCCACAGAACGCCAAGAAAGCCATGCCAAGGATACAGATAATCAGGTGGGAAAACTGATGGCCTGGAATAATAACATTTGAAATCATGAAAAGGTCAGTGACATGCACAATATTTCAGCAAAAAACAATAATCTTTAGAAACCATCAACCTCCTCCAAGAGGTACCACACCCCTCAGATATCACCAGGGGATCCACTGCTTCAAAAAAGATTGAAAGTTACCTGTCTCATGTTATTTGCATGGCTGGTAGTGTGTTTAGGCATTCTAAAGATACAGTGTCTTTGTTTTTCTTGACGTAAAGCAGGGATATCCAATTTTTTGCTTCCTGGGCAATATTAAAAGGAGGAAACTTGTCTTAGGCCACACATAAAATACACTAACCCTAACAATAGCTGATGGTCTAAAAAATATCACAAAAAGGCCAGGTGCAGTGGCTCATGCCTGTAATCCCAGCACTCTCGGAGAGTGAGGCGAGGGGATCACCTGAGGTCAGGAGTTCCAGACCAGCATGGCCAAAATGGTGAAACCTCATCTCTACCAAACATACAAAAATAGTCAGGTATGGTGGTGGGTGCCTGGAATCCCAGCTACTCAGGAGGCTGAGGAAGAAGAATCACTGAAACCAGGGAGGCAGAGGTGCAGTGAGCCAATATTGCACTATTGCACTCCAGCCTGGGAGACGAGAGGGAGACTTTGTCTCAAAAAAAAAAAAAAAATCAAAACAAAACGAAAACAAAATTACAAAAAGAAAAAAAATTTTTTTTTTGAGACAGTGTCCCACTCAGTCGCCCAGGCTAGAGTGCAGTGGTGCAATCTCGGCTCACTGCAACCTCCGTCACCTGGGTTCAAACCATTCTCTGCCTCAGCCTCCTGAGTAGCTGGTATTATAGGCACCTGCCACCACACCTGACTGATCTTATATTTTTAGTAGAGACAGCATTTCACCATGTTGGTCAGGCTGGTCGGAAACTCCTGACCTCAACTGATCCGCCAGCCTCAGCCTCCCAGTTACAGGTGTGACCCACCACACCAGGCCTGTCATTTCTTTATATTTTAAATAACATAAGGACTTTAAGAGCCTTTCTCCTTTGGGTCAATCAATGATCTGCACCAACACATTCACAAAACCAAGGACAGTCCTCACTCACATCCTGGTCACATCACTCCCAGTGACTCCCGCATTGCAAACCTCCCACAGGTGCAGCCCTTTCCTCTCCATTTGATGGGCTTCTCAGCTCCCATCACACTGACTGGACACAGACTCCTAGAGGCAGCCCCCAAGAGCAGAAAACACGAATGACACAGAAGTTCCTAAAAGTCATCAAACCAGATGACACGAAACTCAATGACATTTCACTTTGTTTTGGTTTTGTTTTGAGACCAGAGTGCAGTAGGCATCCGACTAGTCATTTTTGGAATCTTTTGTAGAGAAGGGGTTTGAGTATGATGCCCAGGCTTGAACTCCTGGACTCAGGTGATCTGCCCACCTTAACTCCTCAAAGCGCTAAATTACAGGCCTGCACTGTGTAATATGCCATGTGACAGCCCAATAACAAGGAAGAAACCCCGAGGGCCCAGCGTCTACTCACAGGGGTGGATTGATGGCTGGGAAACCCCAGCAGGAGGAGCCAAAAGAGCAGCCACGGCACCCGCATGTCCTGGTCCTCTCAGGGCGCCCTGAGGCGGCCAGGACAGAGGTGGGGGTGGCTTAGGGCTGAGGGAGGGAAGGGGATGGGGATGGGGCAGGATCTGACTTGGGGAGGGGGATGGGAAGAAAGGGGAGGGAGGGAATGGGGGATGTTGGGCACCTGGAGGACGGGGAGGAGAAAGGAGTCTAGGAAAGGATTGGGTTGAAACTAAGTCTTCAAGTGCGAGTGGGAGGTTCAACTACAAGTCAGGGAGAAAGTCTATCAGGTAAGAAAGCCGGAGGCTCAGGAGCAATTAGACGGAGACCAGGGCTCTGGTTTCCACCAAAACTTCTCCTGTTTGGGCGCTGCCTAAGCAACCCTCGTGCTTTATACTCCCTCTCCACCAATCCCTGGCCCCGGAACGTGCTACCTCACAGTGGAGATTCCACGGAGCACCTAGTGTCCTCCATGCCCCTCCCCCATCTCAGCCCCAAACATGACTCCCAAGGACAGGTCCTCTCTGGAACCTTCACAGACCTGATTTCTGGTCTTCCCCGCCAGCCTCCCTGTCCCTGCTTCCTGGGGTGGCTCCTTCCTTCCTGAGCTTCCAGGGTTTCTCATGGTCAGTCTTGCTGCAAAATATAAGAAACAAATGATGGCAGGATGGCAGGAAGAACCTTACACACAAGCAGATTGGGAGGCTCTACAGCCCCCTCTCAGCCATTCATATTCTAAGCAACAAAACATCAGAAGGATTCGGAAGGTCCCAATGGTAAAGCACCTCCATCACATCCGTGCAGGCCACGTCCATCATCCTGTATCTCAGGAACGGATGTTGGAGCTACGCTAGTTTTAAGCAGTGATGTACATTTACAAAAATTAACCCGACTTATTTTGTTTATCAAGCAAATCTCAATATATTCCAGAGAAATTTAATCACACAGCAGTTTCTGGTCACAGAATTGTGTTTAGAAGTCAATGATTAAAAGCTAACCAAAAATTATTATATGCTTGGAAATTCAAAGTCCCCTTATAATATATCAACAGAAGAAGAATCCAAAATGAAACGAGACTGCCTTTACACTCATTGAGAATATCATAACGTGGCATCAAATGCCTCCCCCGGCCCAGGAATTCCACTTTGTGGCACAAGGTTGTGGTCTCAAATCACCCTAACACACCTAGACATGGTAACATCTGAAACAGGGTGATGGTGTCACTTATCTATATTATCTTACTGCCTGTGAAGGTGGACTTTTCACCTTGTTCGGCACGATCGCTTCAGCAGCCAGGAGGGAAAAGATGAAAGCCCAGAAGGAAGAATAGAAACCCTGAGTTTCCAATGGCTAAATATAAGCTGCCATCATCAACGCAACAAATCAAAGGCAGTGACCACGCGGTGGCTTCAAGAAAAGCCCACCGGTGTGACAAGTCCCACTAATGTATAAGAGTGGTGGTGCAGCTGGAGAACTGTCTCCCAAATAACTGGATCTTATTTATCTTAGCAATGTTGTGAACTTTAAGTGTCTAGGTCTTATACATACTGTGTTAATTTAGCCTGAAGTAGTTCCTGTTTTTTGATGCTGTTATATATGGCATTTTTCCCCATTTTCCAATTGTTTATGCGTATGTACAAATAAAACTGATTTTTGTATATTGTCCATGTAGCCTATAACCTAGCTAACCCACTTATTAATTGTGATAGCTTTTCAATATAGATTCCTTAAGATTTTCTGCAATCATGTTGTCTGTAACATCTGTATCTCTTCCTTTCCAAGTCTGCATGTCTGGTATATCCTTTCCTTACACTTGCTAGGATCGCCATTAAAATGTGGACTAAAAGTGGTGACAGCAGACATCCTTGCCCTGTTCCTCTTCTGCTGTTAGCTATGGGTTTTTCATAGATTTTCTTTACCAGGTTGAAAAAGTTTACTTTTCTTCCCAATTTGATGAGGTTTTTTAAAAAAAATCATAACGATGTTTAATTCTATCATACACTTTTTCTCGCAACGGGAAAGAATCATATGCTTTTCTTTTTTAGTCGGTAAATTAGAGTATTTTGATTATTAAATATTTGCATTCCTAACACCCCACTTGATTAGACATCTTACAATTTGCATAAATTGCTAAATTAAATTTTAAAAAAGATGCCACATTTATATATTATATATATATATTATATCTTTTTTTGAGACAGAGCCTTGCTCCGTCACCTAGGTTGAAGTGCAGTGGCATGCTCTTGGCTCACTGCAACCTCTGCCTGCCAGGTTTAAGCAATTCTCCCGCCTCAGCCTCCTGAGTAGCTGGGACTACAGGGACATGCTACCACACCTGGCTAATTCTTTGTACTTTTAGTAGAGCAGGGTTTCACCATGTTAGACAGGATGCTCTCGGTCTCCTGAGCTCAGGTCTGCCTGCTTCACCCTCCCAAGTGCTGGGATTACAGGCGTGAGCTCGCTGGCTGCTAAACTACATTTTATAACGCTAGTCCTAATAAATGAATTGGAGTGTGTTCTTATTTTTCAGCAAATGTTTGACACAGAATGTTTCTATTTGTTCCCTAAATATTTGCCGAAATTCACCAGTAAAAGACATCTAGATATAACGCTTCCTTGTGGAAGGTGTTTAAACTATAAATTCACTCTCTTTAACAATGTAGGGCTATCAGATTACCTTCTTCCTGAGAACCTGAGAGATTTGATAGTTTGTGTCTTTGAAGGAATTTGTCCTATTTCCTCTAGGCTGCCAATGTATTAGCATAAAGTACATGTAACAAAATGCCAGCTTTTTGTTTTGTAGAATAAGTTTCACTAGTGAAACCCTGTCCTCTACTAAAAAAATACAAAATTACCAGGCATGGTGGTACCCGCCTGTAATCCCAGCACTCAGAGGCTGAGGCAGGAGAATAGCTTGAACCCAGGACGAGGTTGCGTGAGCCAAGATCGCACCACGCACCCATCCTGGGTGACAGAGCAAGACTCCATCTCAAAAATAAAGAAAAAGCATAAGGTTTTCACCATGTTGCCTCCTGGTCTCAAACTTCTGAGCTCACGCGATCTGCCAGCTTGGCCTCTCAGGTATGCACCACTGTGCCTGGCCCCTTTTTTATTTAATTGACTATTATCTTTACCTCTTTCATTCCTTTGATTTTGTTCTGCTTTTTTGAGTGGAATAACTTTTAAAAAAATTTTAAAATGAGCCGGGTGTGGTGGCATGCCTAAAAGTCCTAGCTACTGAGGGGGCAGAGACAGGTCCAGGTGGAATCCCAGGTCTGAGTTGCGCGAGCTGTAATAGCGCACACGGCACTCCAGCTGGGCGACTGAGTGAGAATCCTGTCTTTGGGGGTAAAAAAATTTTTCCCTACCTCTGGCTCTCAATTTTTTTTTTTTAAAGGTCGGTTGGTTTGGGCAGAGTCTATGTATAGAGACTTTCCAGAGCCACGACAGCTCATA